ACTTCTAGAGTAATATACAGGGTGGACTACTTAACTCGTACATCTAAATAACTCCTAAACTTTGCACTGATTAAAAAATTGTCACATGCAAAAGTTGTATAATTTCCAAAGGAACATTACGCAACGTATTAACTTTCTTTGTAGCTGGAGATTTGGTTGGAAATTTCAAGGTCAATTTTATTTGTTTAAATGGAATGTTGTATTTTTCTATGGCAAAATTCGAAAGAATGTTAAATTCTGAATAAAAAATTATTAATAATTATTAACCTTGAATCCAATAGTTAATGAGATATTTCGCTTCGTTTATCGAAAAGTCTAATTTCCTTAGCTAAAGTAGATGTTCAAAGACGTAATTTAGTAATTAACGACGTAACAGAATTCTGTATTGTTTCTGCACTGTAGGTAATGCAGGCTTTAAAAATATTTGACCTTCATATGTCCTCTACGCGTTGACCTATGAAAAAACGAATAATATCAAATCAGGTCCCTTTCGAAACCATTCAACTTTTATCTGAAACATTTTTCGGAATCATCAACAATTTCGAAGATATTTAAGGGGATCAATATAAATGGCTCACCCTATATGTACCCTTTCATTAATTTGTTTCATTTATAGCAATGCGTATATCATTTGTCATAACTTTACTAAAATTAATCATAACTTAGATGCATCATTTACATAGATCATCAAAATTTTGTTAGCTCTTTTCTTTAATTGACATAAAACATTTCTCGAGCGGACAGTAATGGGAGGACTTCAACTTCTTATTTGTGTATTTCTCGTTTTGAGATATTAATATTTTGCAAAATTTTGAGATGCTCTTGTAATGTAAAACTTATCTACTATTATAAAATTTTGTGAGTAACTTGTACTAAAATGTGTTTTTTTAAACCCTTGAATGACTTACACCATTTTCAAAATTAATAATATATTCTAATTGGTAACTGACAATAATAAAAACTAATAAATTTTATGATCAAAATAAGTTAAAAACTAAACATCTATTTATGTTATAATTGTAATTTTGCTTCATTAATTTCTATTGATATTTTGCTTCAACAATACAACTTTTAGTTTCTGATACTTTAAGGGTTTTAAAATGTTCACAAAGTTGGAATGTAAAGTGGTAAATCCATTTTCCTTTCTCACAAATGACTTACACTACTATCGAAATGAACGTGAAACTGTCGTGCTTCGTTATGAAAGTGACACCTTCATGTCGTTGCTTACTTCACGATTATTTTCCGCAAATTCTTTCATAATATTGAAATATAAATTGATGTAACATAAAATAAGAGAAAAACTTGATTTTTTAGGTTTTTCGACTTACACCGCTTTCATAATCACCAGCACATATCGTTTCAATATTCAGATGCTTTTGTTTTTAACTCAAAAATGAAATCGAATAATGCGTTCGTACAATTAGAAGAAAATGACATTGTGCTGATAGTTTTGCGGGCTCTTTCGATTGACGTCACTTAACAAATACATGTGAGATAGCGGCACGGAAGCAAGGCTAAGGGCTCCATACCATACCGATCCGACCACGTTTTATGTACATCATCACTTACAGATGATCCTGTGATTCCGACAACCTACATTATACCAGCGGCGCGTTTATTAACCGTCATGCGGCAGCAGCTTGGTAATGACGCATCGAATGTGCAGCTATTTCCATCTGACCGCCGCTTTTTGAACAAAAAATTAGCTCTGCTGAAAACTTAATCGCGTTCACGTTATTTTATAAAGTACTAGAGAACGCAAAAAATCGTTACTGAAATTCAAGCAAATTACAATTATATGTTATGTCTAGAGTATTCAAAATATTTGGTACGATTCAATATAATGTCACGATCTACATATGTGAATTAATGAATTTTTATATTCTCTAAAAGTGTAATAAATAACAATTGATTGTTATTTTGGACGAAAGAAAATAATTAGAAAATATAGTATACAAAATTAGAAGTAATATT